GATGATGCGATTCAGACAGCACCAATCAGTTTCTTTTTTATTGACCACAGGGATTGCATTTCATGCGAAAATAGCGTTGCGTGATGCAAGCACACACAGAATACGGTGCCAGTAAGAGAAATCAAGCACCAACTAAAGTTTTTAGTTTCGTGTTAGAAGACCAATAATGGTTAAATCAGAAACTCAAACTTCAATGGTAATTTTAAAAGTACCTCGGAGCTGTGGGGTGGTGGCGGTGGCGCTTGTACAGGTCTGAAACTTTCTGCCCGACCTATTTTTACAGCCGCAGCACTCTCAGGTGGCACACAATACATCGGTGATTCTTGCTTTACTGAATTAATGCCTAATTCGTCGCCTTTTTCAGCATACAGTGCTTGCAGCACATCACTCCGCGGACGCTGCGGTACCTGAGAACACAATCAAATAAACTCCTAGAAAAAATGAAACATAAGTGAGGCTGAAAAATACTGCTAGCTAAAGTTAATCTTCAGTGGAACACTCACACGTTAATGTCAGGACCTGTATTATGGGTCAAGTTCAGCCCGCAAAGTGCCAGTGTAATTTTACGCAAATAAAGTAATAAAAAGTAAGACAGTAAAAAAGGAAAAACCAAGTACCTGAGGAGGAGGAGCTGTTGGCCTCATCGAATTACTGTGGACGATTGACGGCTTCGATGGGAAAGGAGCAAAATTAGAGCACGGGACAACTGGCGGGCTGAAACTTGGTGGAACAGATTGTTGGTGACGAGTTGTACGTGAAGCATCAGAGGGAGTGTCACCCCAGATTGCGTTGAGTTCGGCGGTTCGAATCGGCGGCGGTCCTGGTGGGGGAGGTGCTTTGCGGATTGGTACAAGTAATTTCTCAATTTTCAATGCTTTCTTCAGTTTTTTCCAAATCCTAAAATATTCACATCGCAAGGAACACCACTGTGCTACGATTCAACCACAACAAGGACTGCTACAGTCTTACAAAAGGAAATTTTCAAAAAATATAAAAAGCGAAATATGCTTCATACATCAACAGAATTGGATGAATGCGTACTGCTTATGAAGCCAGAAGTCCTTTTTTCGTTTGACGATAATCGAAGCGCCAATAAATGCAATGGTCAGTACCAAAAGAAGCCAAAACACGACGAAGCCAACATGTATGACGCCACCTTCAACGGCTGGGCCGCTGTTCACCGAACCACCAGGGCCAGGAATGGCACAGGATGGGCCACCATATCCGGGCTCGCAGTGGCAATTACCCATATTGTTACAAATACCTGCATTGTTACACGATGGCGGATCACATTTCGGTGCCATTAGCACTTTGGCAGTGCGATTTTGACATTTCGCGTCAACACACATCTAAATGGGTTCAGAACTGCTGACAAATCAAGTGCCATCGAAATACAATCGGATTCCGAAGTTGCAAAAGTCCGATCAAAAAAGCTTAAAAACAAAAATTCACCTCATCCTTGCCACAGTACGCCCCGTCCGGAACCATCCCTGGATCTCGCTCGTTCTTTCGGCCAATATACTTTGTCCACACCACTCGACATGCCACTTCCTCACCACTCCTCAGCTGTAGCCCAGTGTATGCTGTGTAGACCGTTGACGGGTCACCAAACGCTAATTTCTCGTTCTCATGAATGCAGTGCAATCTCCCACACTTGACATCTCTGAAGAAGATAATGTGAAGTTTCCCTGATTCACATGATAAAACGCTGTTCAGTGGTGCCGTCCCATTCTAAAAGCCAAGCATAATAAGGAGCTTATGCTGTTTCCACGGTTTACTTCTAAAAGTAGTTGGCAATGACGTAACTAGGAAGGGACAAAACTTATTTTTAAACTTGTTTTGCCTCATTAAAATCTCAGAGAATGAGTTGCCGACAGTATATGGAGGCCAGTGACGAACTGTGGTAAAATGCTAGGATCAACGTCACTGGTATGTAAGACAAAGGTTCTTTTTTTGACACTAACAAGAGGGTCGGAATGT